TCACATATTCAACTGACTTGACATTCAGTTGGGCACAATGTCTCACTGCCAAAAAAAGAGTGCAAGGCTGCGAGGAAGAGCAAGACTTACTGATTTCCTTGAACCACAGGTCACGGTTTAAAATGAGTTATATGCCTTTGGAATATTAATGTCTTCTGACTAGTGACACCCACAACCTCTGTTAAGAATCTAGGGGCGGGCCTTTCTGCTGGAGAATAGAAAATCATATTGCCTCAAGATCCTAATTGTAGTCGACACACAGTCCTTTGAGGACCTGAAAAATTAAAATTCACAGAGTGCTTTTTTTGCACTCTGCTTCTTTTGCAGCATTTCAGCCAGGGATATGAAACAAATACATTCACAACCTCAACAAGAGTGGATATACATACAATGTGGAAATCTAATTAAATTCAGCAAATGGGTAGCCAATCACCAATTAAAAGGAATAAAGAACATCAATGTTTTCCAAACAACTGTTTTTGAAACACCACAGAACAATCTAAACACAGATAGATTTACTTTAAATAAAGTATTGCCTGTGTACTACAAATGTCTCCTATTCAAGGGCAGAAATGAATAAGCTGTTGTCCAGGAAAATCCAAAGTGTTCTATATTGATTGCTAACAATGTACTGCAATATAAATTACTAAGACTGTTGTGTCTATATTATCGAAGCAAATCAAGATGTGTCATATCAGCCGGCCAATGTAACAGCAATGTTTGATTAGCCACTAAGTGCACTCAAATGTTAAAGGGCTACCACTCCACTTTATTTAATTAATAAATAAAGTCCTACTGTACATCAAACCACACTAGTCTTGTGTGATCAACAAGGGTTTAATTCAATATAATATATTTTAAGTGAACTGATGTCTCCCCAAACAATCCTTGCATTTTCCACTTTAGTTGAGCTCTAGTCAGGTGCAACCAAACTAACTTTTCAAGTCATTTGTTTGGAAACAGTATATTCATCTTACACAGTTAGAGAGCTGCTTACTTCACAGAATGCACTAAACAGTGAATATGAGCCAAGCTTGCTCTGTGCCTCTCTTATGACTTCAAGTTGTAACTAGAACTCTTTGTAATGTCTTTAATCAGGGACTAAGCACATACATTGGTGCTGTACATTATAGGGTAGGGCTTTATCTTTTAGTGTGTAAACAATAGCTTTGTCTAAGTGAATTCTCTGTTCTCTGTTTACTTGTTAGTGAGCAAAACTAAAAGTTCAGCCGTTGATCAGTTCAGTAATTTGGTAAAGTCATTTGCTGTTTTCTAATCATTTAGAACACTGAAAATAATTCATTTACCCATTACCAAACCCCACAAAGACAAACCAAAAGCCTGATCAAAGAGCAGAGACTGTATGAAAACATTCCCTTTGTGTGACTGTTCTGTCCAGCATCGAGGTCATCTTTAATGAATTGGTTCTTTTCTTCAGAGGCCTATTCTATGTCTAGAAATCAAAAGGGCACGTAGATTGTTGTATAGTAAATAAAGTAAAGTATTTATCTATAGTCAATTAACATCTTTTAGGAAGGGAGGAAGTATGTGAATAAAGAACACTCTGTTTGGCATGAATGGTATCTTTAGTGAACCTTCTTCATCCATATGTGATTCTATTAAAAAATAGCCTACCGCTATAACTTTTTGGTATCAGGGAAAAAGAGATAGGGAAAACAATCATCCACCCAGAAGTTGAATAAAAAATCTGCCAAAAATCAAAAGCATGGGGACGAAGTGAGCAGTACACTCCATGCTGTAACCTCATTAAGCGTCATTATGTTTTCCTGACTCCCTAAAGCACTGATTGGCACATGTCTACAGCTGTTTGAAGTTCTCTCGTTTCATTTCAAACCTTTACAAGTGAAGCATTGGAATACTTCAAATGTGCTTGAGGGTTTAAATTATTTTCAACTTGCAAAGAGCTACAGCCGTCAAGAGGAAAGAGTGGGCAACTTTTGGATGGCTCCTCTCTCTTCTCTCATTTGCTCCCCCAGGCTCCAGTTGACTGGACAGCCGCTGTCTGTGAGGTGAAGATGTGGTAATGGGCAGATAGCGACTGAAAGACTTTTTAAACTCGCCGGTTCCACCCTTGAAACTCCTCTCTTTTCTGTGACTTTGACCCAAAGGGATTTACCACATGATGTATGAAACATCTCATTAAGGGCCAACAAAACCATTAAATTCAAACCAGTCCGTGTTTCAACGGACAAATTGCTTTTGAGTGCAAGTGTATCACATATTATTTGGAAAATATATTTTAAAAAGGTACCTCATTAAAAAAAGAATTGTTTCAACCCTTTCATGAATCTGCCGCAGATTGGAAAAAGAAATTGCTGGGGTTTAAAGGTTGACTGACAAAAACAAAGCTCCCTGTGTTAGTACTGTGGTGTGACTGATTTGTGAGCCAACGCAAACGCTTCCTAATGAGAGCTAATTACATCGTGATCTTAATTGATGTGTCAGTCAAGACGGGAAATTAAGACTGCACTCCGCTGGTTTTGTCTCTCACTTTAACAACAGGCAGTGTTACCACAGTTTGGAAATTAAAACAAAACCAAATGACGAGGCAAAATTATTTTTTAAAGTTTTTAAATCTTCTGTAAAAATGACCCCAAGTTTTAATCGCCTTGCCCTGCCTAATTGCTGTGCACATAGTGTAATTTACGTTAAGCGTGTTTCAGTTGTGTGTGTGTGTGTGTGTGGTTTTCTTTGCACTCGCATGTGGATACTTAAATATGTTATTGTTCTTTATGACTTTGTCTGTTGGTAAAGCCCCAGTGCCCATGTAATATGATTGCAGTGCAGCTTGCTGTGCCTCAGAGGTGTGTTGCATAGTTATTGCAGGCAGGGAAAGGCCACCGGGCGTTCTGTCTAACTCAGTTTGAACCCCTGAATATAGCTGCACAGACACGCCTTGAATAGAAGTCCCTGCAACCTGAATACAGTATATGACTTTCAGCTCTGCACTTCGTAGTGTAGAAGAGAGAGTGGAGGACATTTTAAAAGAAAATGAATGGGAGAAATCATGAGTATGTGTAGGTTAAGGAAGGGTAAAGGTTATTCTGTATACCTTTTTTAAAAAGTGAAGTTAGTGTACACATAAGATGTTGGCCCACTGAAGGGCCAATATGTGACAATGACCTCTCAGCATTGAACAGCCACAGATATAGGGCTCCAGGTAGGAGAGTGACCACAGCGGATGAGAGAGGTTACCCTGCTCTCTGCTAGTTCAAACACATACATCCATCACCAGTGCTCCCAGTGGAGGCTTTCAGCATTCACCAGGGTTTATTAACGGATACGGTACCATGTGGTCTCTTTGCTACATATGGCGCTCTTGTTGTTTCTGAAGGTCCTTAAAGGACTTTCCTGTACCAGTGGTTATATACCACATGATCTAGACCCTGAGCTAGGTAAATAAAGAGTTTGGTTAACGGAAATATATGAAAATATCTGAATGAAGTATTGTGGTGCTGCAAAGAAGTACTCACCTGCAAATGGTATTCTACAGACTACAGACAGACAAATCCTCCAAAAAGAGCAAATCAGGATCATCTTAAAGGGGCCCTTTTATGCTTTCTGGGGTGTTCCCTTCCCTGTAGTGTGTTCTATAGGTTTGTCTGCGTGTAAATGGTCTGCAAAGGCTACAATCCTTTTGTTCTCCTTTGTTTACTTCCGTAACATCTCTAAGTGGATGACCAATCACAACAGAGGCGGCCAGCTAACCAATCAGAGCTGACTGGGCTCTGGTTTCAGACAGAAGGGGAACATAAGTGCTGCAGCACAGGCAGTATGAGAAAAATAAAGAGCTTTTTGAACATTAAAGCATGGAGACATGTCACAGTAGAGGCACAAAATACATGACCTGAAAATGAGGGTAATATGTCCTCTTTAATATAGATCAAATATCATCATTCCCTCTTATATCGCAATCATATCGCAATTGCAATATCAGTCAAAAATATAACAATTACTTATTTTTTACCAAATGTTGCAGCCTGAATTATAAAGTTGTACCATTCTGATAGAAAACCAAAACTTTTTAGATAAACTTACTTCCTTTGAGGCAGCCCTTGGTTTTCATTTTCGATAAACAAAGTCATTTCTCCCATCGCATAGACATGCAGTGGAATCTACTCTGAAAACTGTCCTTGCTTGTATGTTCAAGGTTGCTCAAAATGTGAGTTGCTGCTGAGGATTGTTGCATCCACAAGCTATAAACAAGGAATCAATCCAGGAGACATGCATTAAGCAAACATGGACATAGTGAGATAGTTTTGTAGTGACCTTGTTTAAATGTCGTTTTTGGGCGCTGTGTCAGATAGTTGTTCATCCTTGAGCTCTCGAGAAATATAATTCCCTTCCTGCAGGTGCATTGCTATGCAAATGTGATGTAACTCTGACAAAATCAATTGCAATAAAATGTATTTGGATTGCTTATCTTTAAGTCATAATCCTTAAGCTTCCCGTTATGGTTGATTTTGTAACGCCTATGTTCATTTGAGATAACGCTAAGAAGTTGTTAACAATACAAATCCCAGAGTTCAGTTCCAAATGACTCGGGGCAACAAACGTACTCTGAGGAGCAACTCCATCATAAAAACAACTGAAAAAGTGACTCATATATGAGGATATTTATTTAGCCATGATGACATTTCTTTATTTGTCTGAAAGTATGTCTTGCAAAAATGAGATACAAATGTGCCCAGTACATGCATTCACTGTTTTCTGTGACTCAAACAGCATTCAAAAACAGTGCAGGAGTGGATGGCTGTAGTCCAATAAATACCCTCCATAAAAAATCAACTATTGTGTTTAATATGATTTGAGTCGACATGGTTGAAATGGATTGCTGCTTATAATGTGAAAGTTTAACACTCTGTCTGATAAATAAATTGAAATCCATCTCTGGAAGGTTATAAAAACATTGTATAAACATCCTTTAGTACTACATGTTAGTATATTGTTAATACATGTAACTGTAATGTGTTTTCCAGCTGCTGTCGGACAGTCATATCCAAATGGTGAAGATGGTGAACTCGGTGAGTGATTCTCTGAACGCCATGCAGAAGGAGAACATGGGCCTGAAGGCACGTGTCAAGGCTGACCTGATGAAGGGCCCCGTCAGAGGGGCCCGCTTCAAGGGCTGCGCCAACGGTAAGAGAAATTAGGCGTGGCTAGACTATCTGTACCCATCTGTCTTGGATTTTTCCTTGTAGATTTGTTTGTCCGATACTCAGTTTGTGCCCCTGTGTCTGTATACATCACCTATATGTGTCACCCTCTTCCACTGTCTCCATCCTCTGGCAGTGGCTTCCGCTATTTTGTTTTAACCTCATATACATTCACCTCAGCCTCTCCTGGTGATATCAGTGTGTTTCCCTGGGCTACGTCTCCTCCACATTACCCAGTGGCCTTGGTAGAGATGTGGAATGTTTTACTGTACATGAGAAATGACTGAATGTCCACTGGGCCGTGTTGCTGAGAGGCAGAGAAGGGCCCGAGGCATCATCCCATTGGAAGGCTTTTAACCAGGCGCACTCTACCCATCAGCATTCCCCTGTTGGATTCCCCTCGCATAGGTAGCCGAGGAGCGCCGAGCGAAGGCTGCTCATGTTTAGCACACAGCATACGATATGTGGAGGATGTCTATAACATCTGCAAACACGAGGGAATAGGCAGGGAATTTTACTTGTGCTCCAAGGAGCTGAAGAGCTTCACATGACCCGTTGGATGTATTATCAAACATCATGCAATCTTACAAACTGGTAAAGCAATTAGCTGCTAATGCTGTTGTCATAAAAATCTTAGCTGCACCTGATGAGGGTTTCAAAGTTCATATATGTTTCAAATATCACTGAATCTCCTGGGTTTAGGAATTTGATCATTCATAAATGTTTAAGCTCGGACGTTTCCTATAGTGTATTTACAGAATACTAAATTCTGATATTAAATCTGATGTACAACATATATTGTTATATAAAGCACACTTCTATATAAAGTCTACTTAAAGTTAAATCAAAACTAAACTTATATTAAAAGCATCAAAAGCTAACATGTCAACCAAAACTATTTATCTCTATTTTATTGGTTATTATTGTATTTATTTGAGATAAACCAACAAACATAGTGTTTGTTTATGTGTTAAGGCATTTCCCAAAATACTCTAAAAAAACACAATACATTTTTTGTGACAAATAAATTCCACTTTTTTCTTTTACACCATCTTCCATAAAGTGATTTGCTAAACAACAGTATCTGAGGCAATCAGTAAACAGTAACTTGTAACATGCTAATATCTTTGGTGGCAATTCATTATAATGTATTGGTAATGAAAGACTTCTTTAGATCTTAGCAGAATCGTTATCTCACAGCAGGCATTATAACTATATTGTGGAACTATTTCTTCAAGCTTAATTTACATGTATTGTCTCCTGGCTGTGTATAAATGAATACAACGACAGAGACAGAAACATCATTGTTTTTTATGGTTAAGGCAATCATTAGTCAATGTATAAACTGATAGCCCCCCACCCCCTGTATGCAGTGTATGAGGAGAACACAATTACAAGAACATGAAGAATATGATGCAACACAATGTGAAGTAACATTACTGTTCTAAAACTCTGATGTAGAATGAATATAACACGGCAATATGTATTGCAAGCTATTGTTTTGCATTGCATTAGATTATACACGTGTTTGTGTTATGTTATTAGGGGAAATGTCTGGTAAAGTCTTCATAATAAGGGATGATTATGCATGAGCTCTGTGTATTTTTAATATCCATTCCTGTACAACACGGTTAAGTCAGCAGGCACTTCATGTTGTTGTGATGATTACATCACAGTGTTGTTTCTGCTGGAGTTTCTCTTGTTTGCTGCTCCTGTTGTGATTGTTTCCTACCCCACCCCCTGCAAACACGTGTCACACTCTGTCAGCTGTCTGTCAGATATTGCAGCTCATTATTAATATTTGTCTTGCATGTGTAGTTCCTTTGCAACCCTATATAGGACAATATTATTACCTAAAACCAATACATGTATGTATTTTCTCCAGTGAGATTTACACTACAATCCAACTTTAAAAGAACATCAATGGTTAGATAAGAAAAGCAACAGTGTCTTTTCGGGAATGATATTTACTGAAATATGCATACATATGTATTATGCTGCATCGTACAAAGCTGCTGCAGTGACAGGCTCACTGTTAAAGACATTTACAACAGGGAATATCCTTTTTTTTCCAACATACAAAAAGAAGCAGTATTCAGACTCATTGACCAACCATGGTCATCGCTCCACATATTCTCTGCTCAAGGTTTACTCTGCAGCAGTGCTTGCAAGTACTCACAGTCTCTATAAGATATAGTATAATGAAATAAAACATGTAGAAAATAAAAAGGTATGGTACACACATAGAGAAATCTATATGTTATGTTATATTCTTTGTCCACCCAGTCCTTTTTGAAATATAGTTCTAGGCAGGTTTTCTTTTTCTCTTCAGAGCTACAGTCAGGATTAACAAAGCAGCCGGCGGCAACTTAGTGTTTCTGTGCAGCGCAGCCTTGACATTTCATCAAAGACATCCACAGTGAACGAGAAAACAGGCAGAGAAACAACAAAAACATCAGTGCTGCTCTAAATTGATATACAACACAAACTGTACCTTCCTCAAAATGCCCCCATTTTTTTAATTACAGTATGTGATATATCCTTTTTTTATTATTATTATTATGCCATTCTTTTGTGGGTAAGCTTGCTTTTGGCTATCTGTTCATAAAGATACCTGAATGGTATGCTGCACTAGAAACACACGATACGATATTTCTCCAGCGCATATGTATCAATTTGTGAATTCTGACATAGGGTCAGTGTACCAGGTGTCGACCATCTAATATATGAACATAATAATGGTCTAACTGAGATGCACATACATACTAAACAGCTCAATATTGAATGTCTGCTGTGTCTATATGTGGTGTTGTGTTAAACCCAAGCAGGGACATATTTTCCTGCCTGTCTGTGCTACTGTGCCTGTGGATATTTGAATTCTTCATCCCTGTGCTCTTTGCATTGGATTCCCATAAGAGCATATTCGATTTTCAAAGTTGAATGAAGCCCAACATGACAGCAGCGAAGCCCTTCTCAGCTCTGACTGTAGCAGAGTTTGTAGTCGCATTAAAGCACTGAAGAAGTCCTCTTTCACTTCATGGACTGCCTGCCTTTGCTGCACAGTGGCCTTCTGAAAGGATTCACAAGTCAAATCAAATGTATTTTGTCAGAAGTGAATCTAAAAGTAATGACTGGACATGTGGTCGGTGGTGAAAGAAGTACTCAGATATTTTACAAATACTCGGTCACATGTACAAGTCCTGCATTCACAATATTACTTAAGTAAAAGTACAAAAGTATTGGCATCAAAATATACTTAATGTCCCATTTCAGAATATTCTCCATTAAATAACTGGATTGTTACTTTTTCAGCAGAAATGTGTTCATCACATTTGGTAAACGTGGAGATACTTTTAATAACTACTGCTGGATATGTTAACTATAACTTTATAGCATTTATTTATTATTTTATTTGTTTTTGCTAATAATCTGAACCTGTGAAGTAACGAGTAACTCATTCTGTAAAATGAATGTAGTGGAGTAAAAAGTAGATTACTGGCTTCCAAAATGTAGTTGAGTAGAAGTATAGAGTAGTATAAAAATAAAAATACTTAAGTTACAATTACCACAACATCGACTTAAGTACAATACTTGAGTTCTTCATTACACCACTGCATCTGGTAGACTTCTTTATTTGGATTTTCTTGCTGCCACATCAATTATTCTACTGTATGCTTATTGCGTTGTAAAAAAATATAGAGTAAGATCAAATGTAATCCGAAAAGTTGGATGCAGGACATGTGCATGTTTGGAAACGACTTCAATCTGTTCCACAGATGAACAGTGTGAGGGGGAGGGGGAGGATAGAGTGCATTACGATGAGTTCACTTCCCACTGTGCAGGGCCTGCCTTGTCACACTGACTTACTTTGAAGGGTTTATGTGACTTAGAACTTTGTCACCAAACTGATGAGATTCAGAACCGGTACTTTCTTCAAAGGTCCTCACTAGCAAATGCACACACACCCTACCCAAACTCTACACACATCATTAGAAACTCAATAGACTTTAAAGATGTTATATTTTCTATTTTCAACAGAAAATTTCTAAATAATTGTCTGTGTTGCCAAAGCCTGATAAACTATGAACTTGTTACAGCCATAGACCTTTATTGATGTCCAAAAGCTATTAAAAACGAATCAATGAGACACACCCATGGATGTATAATAAGAACTGGATACAGCGTGGGAGGCGGGGCCTCGTTCATTCCTATGAGAGTTGCATGGAGACAAAATGGCCCAACTTTTGAGAGAGCGAAACGTCACGAAAGTATTCATATAATCCGTTCTTATTGTGCATCCATGGGTAAAGGTAAAACTCATGTACTGTAGTACTGAACACGTCACATGAACGTGCCGGGCGGCGCGGTCCCGTGGGTTAGATCCGCGTTCATGATGCCGAGGAAAATAACTCTCAGAATAACGTTATTAGCACATTTTACAACTTGAGGACCGAATGTTTTTAATAAGGGCTATACAAATGTTCATACTGGGTAGTTTATTTAGTTTAAAAAAAATTATCCAACGATTTACAGACGTCTCTTTTCCAATGTTAGTCAATGGGGAAAAGTATTTCCGGGCCCAGCGACTGATACGGAAGTGTAGTACCGCCGTTTGGCCACAACAAATATTTTCCTCAGAGTCCGGTGCACTTCCTGGGGGCTTGGACACACCACATGTTCCTTATTTGCATCAACACTAATGCGCCTTTGATCCCACATCCTGCTGCCATAGATGCTTAATAGTGCACCAAATCAACAGCTGAAACAAATCCCAAACAAATGAACTTCTTCCTCCTTTCTGATTCAAATGTGCTACACGCCTGTTGTGTTCAGCTGCAAGATTACGTTTTTAATCTTTAGTTTTCTTTAATACATTTCAGGAACCAGAAAGTTCAAGGTGTCGTTTGACAGACGAAGACCTTGTTGGTGTTGGTGTTTTAGTAGGATTTGTTTTACGGTAAGAAAAATATGGAATAAGAGGGACCATGAAGTCCACAATAAAGCTGTCATGATACATTTTACTACGTTTTTACCAAAAGAACAATTATTTGGTTGATTAGTTTAGCAATTGTTGTTAAAATGGCAGAATAAGCTGCTATTAAGACTTAAAATATAGATATTTTCTGCTTTCCTCTGTTTGAATTAGAACAAATGATTTGCCCTTTGAGACACTGGAATAGACTTTTTTCACATTTTCTACACTTTAAAGAACAAACTATAAACCGAAAAAATAATAATAAGATTGATCAATAATGAACATAATCCTTAGTGTACTCTACCCTAGTCCACAGTGTTCATATTAGCCAACAGGAGGGACACGTGGCAAGAGATACACAGGAGAGATGACTTATTGAAGTAAACCCTGGTGACTAACACCTGAGAGGGAGGGGAGAGCAGGCTCTGACATTACAGAAACTATCAGTGACTGACGTACTGACAACTAAATTGATAGAAGTTACAATAAAAGCTCATGAAGCCATGACCAGAAACCAAGGACCTATAAAAGCTTTTTCTGAAACACCATGTCAGTAAGACGTATATGTTGTCACTGGAATAGATAGGTATGGATTGTGAATCAATTAGGTCACATAAGAAGACCAACAATCTAATTCTGTGTAAAATAAAAGCTTGGAAGCTGAAGTAGAGGTGGAGTGTCAGTATATTCGTGAAATGGGTCTGTGTAAGGAAGACTTGTTTTGCTGTAAGGGATCATTAAACTGAAAACATTGAAAGCCCTGGTTTCAAAGATCCAAATGCCTGACTAATAATGGTAGTCTCTTTTAGTAATTTCCCATGGAAGCCAGACAGCTTGAGCTTCCTGTAATGAAAAGGAGACCTGGGAAATGTTAGCATTTATATGTGATGGGGATGAAAGACGGAGCGCAGGAGTGGAGGTTAACACGGAAACCAAACATTTTATATCGTGTAGAGCCTGTGAGAACATCTTGTGTGGCCTTTTCAAATACTCTAGCTGTTTAACATTTCAACAATTCTAAGGTTGAGACGCACATTCTGTGACAGTGGGTGTTTCTCAATGTCGAGGAAGGCCGCTCCAGAGCCACTATTTCAAGCATACTACGTCATCGAGTGCCGCCGAAGGACTGTTCCAATGTCCAGCATACTTTGAATTCTACCGAGGCCGGCGTACTTCGTAGCGAGAAATTTCGAGGCTGCACATGTGTAGACTCCGCGGTCTTAAAATCCCCACAATGCTTTGCGCACGGACCAATTTCCAAATCTTTGGCGGAAGTCTGCAATGTTTCCTGAATCTGTCTGTCTGTCTGTCTTTCTTTGTGTTATATACTCTCTCCCTGATTCTGTCTGTGTTGTATTCCTCAAATATACATGTTGCGAAAATACTCAATGTACTCTTTCAATATCAGAGTACACATGATAACAAAGGCCCATCTGTAGCTTTGTACATAGCAGGATGTATGATTACCTAGAAGAGCATCAGGACTGTTTTAGGCATATGATAGCTATGTGATTAACATGATGATTCAGCCTCTATGGAGATAGACATATGACAAGCATGATCATTTCTGATGTGGGTCTTAGCTAATCTGAACTAAGCATAGAATACTGCTTTGAACCGGTATTCCTCCATCTTGTGACTGTGTAACTCCCTCTCTTGTATATCAGCATGTGAAGGACACTGTTCAGGAACTAGTTGCACCAAATGTTCTGTATGTGATGACTACTTCCATTCTTGCAAGGATAATGAATACATGGATCCTGATATTGAAGCTCAAGCCGGTGGCGAGAGATATTTTTCTAACAATACATGTCATCACATCTCCTCCTCTCCGTCCTCCATGATGTGTTTTGTTTCCTCCTTCTTCCTACAACGTGTGTTATCTGAAATCTGCCTCGGTGCTATAAATCTGCGTCTGCAACCTGCAGGATCACGTCCACCCTCCACCCTTTATGTCTTCATTTCGACCTACTTGCGTTCCGTCTTTTTTTACTTTTTGATCTTTGCCGCACTTAGCCTCCGTTATCCCACGGTGTCATCTATCACCCCCCCCCCATCCATCTCACCATCTATCTTTCTTGAGACTATGTTTTCCACACAGCCGTACTCTTCCTCCTCATTGATCTTCTTGAGACAATCTATCTGGAAGAGATTGACTAATACTAGACTTTGAGGTTTTAATTTCATAGGATGACTTCATATTAGGACTGGGCAATTAGCCAAAATCTTCTTTCACGATATAGGTCTTCTCATATCTCCATAACGACATTTATCACAATATATTATGTTTCGCTTAGCATGTGAATTAAAAGTTTGAAGTTCTGGTTGATTTACCATTTAACTCAGAACTTAGTAGAAAATGAACATCACAGTTTCAAGGGAAATTACAGTATAGAGACAATAAAATGGTCTATTGCATAAAATCACTGCCAATGTGAAATGTGTTGTCAAACAAATCCCTTGTCGAAAATAAAATCCCATGAGAAATTTGAGTTATTATTACATTTAATTGAATATACTTCCAAGCTTTGAAAATTGATTAATACGTCGAAACAAACAAGTTATATATATATATATATATATATAAAGAATACACAATCAAATTCCATAAATCATAAATAATGATGTACATATACAAATGACTTCTATAAGCCACACAAATGAACTTTTCCAAATGTAGGATCAAGGAGAAACTGCTTTCCTAGTCTAACTATCTCGTACTGTATCTGCTTGTTATTTCAATTTGGTCGATTTAATGGTGTATCATTTGTTTCCTCACAATTCCATGGAAAGACAATTCATTATCATATTGAATTAGCCTGTATCACTACATAGAACCAGAGCTGCTCTTTGAGTATCTAATTAACTCATATGCCTCTTTTTCCCCTGCTGCAGACAGAGGTCAGAGTGCTGAAAGTGTTATATCATGTTTTCCTCATCCTCTCCATATTACTGATTCCACTTTCCCGCTCCTAGCAATCGTTCCCTGTGCAAGCCATATTGGAGCTAATTTATTTCATGTCTCGTCCTCTCACCTCTCCCCAGGCTCGCGTCCCCGTGACTGCGGTGATCTGTACGCCAGCGGCCAGCGAGAGGACGGCATCTACTCCGTGTTCCCTGTGCACCACCCTGCAGGCTTCCAGGTCTACTGCGACATGACCACAGACGGAGGAGGCTGGACGGTGAGTCAGAGGAGAACACACACACACCTATAATGCTATACACACACAAACACAACCCTCATAAGCTGTATGAGGATATGCCTAAAATAGAGACAGCCCCTACATTTATAGCAGGGGTATAATCAAAATAAAAACGGGGAAACAAAGGCATGAAAGAATGTCTGCTTTTACAAATCTGCTTTATAGAGGCCTAATATGCTTTTGTGGTTTTCCCTCTCCTGTAGTGTCTTCTAGGTTGTTGTGCATGTAAATGGTCTGCAAAGGCTAATATCCCTGTGTTCCCTCCAGAGGGAGTTTCTCTCCCACACACTCCCCCCCCCCCCCCCCCCCCTGCCTGAAACGCCTCAATTGGACTCCTTTGTTAACTTCACACTTGTATTGGCTAGCGTTCCAACACGTTATACGTGATAGGCTAAGGCGCAGACATCACTAAGCGGTTGACCAATCACAACAGAGCCGGCCAGCTAACCAATCAGAGCAGACTGAGCTCTGGTTTCAAACAGAGGGTGAACTATCCACTATACTGTATTTATTTGAATGTAGTATATTCGACTGTTTAGGTTTTAGTGCATGTAAATGGTCTGAAAACAGGTAGTATGAGAAAAATAAAGAGCTTTTTGAACATTAAAGCATAGAGCCGCAAAGTACAGATATGAACCTGAAAATGAGTGTAAAATCCTAATTTGTTGAATAACCCCGACATAGAAATGATTCACTAAGCATGATTTGTTCTAACTGCAGCATGGGTTCAATTCAGAATTAGTCATGCAGTGCAAGAGGTCGTTTGCAGTTTTTCTGGGCACCTGCTGTGATTACAGATGTACCGCCTTAAGAATCTCGTGCATCTATCTGCAAAGGTCTCACGAAAGTGTTATCACAAGAGATCTTACGCAAAGGTTTCATGCAGACCTGTTTGAAAAGTGTTTTTATTTTTGGTTTTTCATTTAGAAAACATAACCGTCATTAGTCACATCTAAGTGAGGGTGTCATAGGTAGATTGCTTAAAGGAAAATTAATAAAGGAAAAGATAGACAAAGAGTGATGAGACAATGAAGCAGAGCACAGACATGATATCCGAAGAGTCATGATGTGTTTATGGGTTAAGTTAATGCTGCCATGATGACACAGGTAAGCTGTTACCTTGACAAACGATCACATAACACCACAATATCATGGCAATCTAATCACCGTGCTGAGTCTGACGCTAACATATTTCTCCTGTTATAAAGACAGAATTGTTTACAATAAGCAAGACACAATGCTCATTAAAATCCAGCTTCCATATTGCATGTGCCAACAAGTTTTCTTCTTGCTTTTAATTCAGAAACAAGAATATGTTTCCATTACAACTGGTGCATGTCTGACCCGTTTAAGTTTTGGTTTGTCTTTCTGTAAAAACATTTTGAGAGGATTTAGATTCGATAAAGGTAACAAGAAAAAAAAAAGGACACTTAGAATTCTTTAAATGCTGTTTTCCCTTGATCAAACATCCGTCAGTTACAAAAGTAAACAGTTGTTTAAGTGAGAGTGTATACTGGAAGCGCTGTGTCTTTTGGGAATGAGAGACAGCGAGGTGAACAAACATTGACACTGAGCTGTTTGAAGTTATATTTGGAAGTTCGGTTTAGATGTATTTGACTGTGAGGGCACACACACACCCACACACACACACACACACACACACACACACACACACACACACACACTTCCTGGTTAGAGCCATTTATTTCTCTTTGTTCTGAAGTATACTGTAGCCGTCCTTAGGGAAAGAGGAGCAGTTCTTAATAGAGAACTGAGGCCTTGTACCACTTGAAATGTCAGCTACTGTACATGAATCCATCACAACGTGTTTTTTTCACAGGTTGTGATGCATGTATTAAAGCATCAAGGGTCTGATTTAGCTATTTAGAGATCTATTTGCCAAATCTATACTATAAACTGCTATGGAAATAACGTCTGTTTCTTTAATGCCGTACGAAGTGTTGCAAGGCTGCATTAAAAAAGCGTAATAAATACATTTACGGCCTATATTAAATCTGCCACCTTCTTTCAGCGTGTAAATGTGTCGTTATCTTGTTGACATAATGTCCCCGGATCATTTTAGACTACTTACTGTAAGACGGACATGTTTAATCTTCCTCCCATGAATGTGTGACGGCGTTATGAAGATGTGAAAATGTCTACATATTATCTGTCAGAAGTGTTTCTCGGATCTGTCAATAGCGTATTGTGCACATTTATTTGCGATTTTTAAATGTAAACACTACGAAAATATTGTCAGGTATAATAACAATTACACTTAGAAGAAAATAAATGATGTCTATTCTCATCTATCTCTGCCCACTTCATATTGCACACTCACTAAAAACACATACAGCAGATATCAAACTTCAACTCAACTGATGGCAGTGATTTGTTTGTGTGTGTGTTTGTGTGTTTGCTTGTAAATCGGTGACTAACTGCGTGAGGTAGGCAGGGTTGTACCCTCCGATCATCAAATAAAACAAAACTGTCAGAGTGACAGAGTGCTGAGCACAGCGTGATGGAATAGTGCTACATAGCAGACTGTGTGTGACTGTGTGTGACTGTGTGTGTGTGTGTGTGTGTGTGTGTGTGTGTGTGTGTGTGTGTGTGTGTGTGTGTGTGTGTGTGTGTGTGTGTGTGTGTGTGTGTGTGTGTGTGTGTGTGTGTGTGTGTGTGTGTGTGTGTGTGTGTGTGTGTGTGTGTGTGTGTGTGTGTGTGTGTGTGTCATTGGGCCAATGTGCGTGCACCTATCCAGAAAAAGCTTGTGATCATGCTTTCGGCTTAGCTTCCTTCTCACGCCAAGTGTTAAGTAACATATTGTCCCATAATGTGATTTACACAGCAGCTCCGATTGGAGATATAATGCAGCCGTTACTGATCCTTCCTGGTGTGTTGAGCTGATTGTGATAATGCCTGAGATCCTCATTAAGAGATCGCAGTGGAGTGATCCAACCGGGCAGGAAGGGATGCTCGGTGAGTTGAGTGGCTTACTGTCTGTCTGAGTTTAAATAAGGAATGAGCCATATGCCGCCACCTCATTAGCATACTTTGACATATACCGTAGCAGTGTTGCAGAGGCTGCTGCACACACACTCAGAGAGGCGCAGGGTGTGATTCAGAAGACATTACATTACATGCCATTTGTTAGACTTACATACATTCAGTACTGTGGACAATCCCCACAGTAGCAATTTGGGGTGAAGTGTCTTGCCCAGGGACACAACGACATGCTGACTGCAGTGGGACTCAAACTTGCTATCCCCTGATTCGAAGTCCAGCACACTATCCACTGAGCCACAGCCTCCCTCCACTGAGCCACAGCCTCAGACATAAAGAACAGACGGCCTTATATAAAAAAAACATATTTCTAATGTGGAGAGAGAAAGTGAGATATACCGATAGAAACACAATAAGGGAGCAGCAATTTCATTTATTCCCTCTATACTCTGAAATGCATTCATTCAGATGTGGTGAAAGATAAAATCTCTCAGTTCTATTATATTTGCAGTATAAAGGTAAGCCAGAGGGAGCCTCCGGGATAATGCAGCTGTCTTGAGTAATGGTGACAGCAGGAACAGGACTCTGGATTTAGATGTCACTCAGCAGAACTGTAGCGTCAGTCAGGCATGACCTTTGGGAGGATGTTTGTTCATATGTCTGTTCACATGTCTACATATACAGCAATCAAAATTCACTGTAGCCCAACAGAGATTTGTTTGAGTCAGTGACGACAATAGGGTTTGTGGGTTAGTTTCCAAAAAAAAATATATATATATATTTTCAATTACTTAAACATTTACTTAAGGTCTTAAGGCCCGGACACACCAGCCCGATTTTGGGAGTCAGAGTCCATCAGAGGCCGTCAGAGGCAGTCGGGCATTCGCGGCGCCCTACTCAGGTTTGTGTGTCCCGCACCGTCGTCTCTTTACGGCACCTTTACACACCTCCCGACGCCAGAGGAAGGTCAGAGAAAGTCGGCCCAAGCAATCACTCTGATTGGCTGTTCACACTACCGCTGCCTGCTGGTAAGGACAGTTATTGCCACTCGTCGACTGAAGTATTTGCGGTGTGTTCGTAGGCGGGCGGCGTAGCGGGCGACGTAGCCGACGCAGCCGACGAAGCTGACGTAAAAGTCGGGACGCCTTCGGTACACGTTCTTTGGTCTCAGGTGGGTGTGTAGCGGCCTTTAGAACTTGTCCCAAAATCCGTCAGCTGATGGCTGTTTTCCATACTATTGCTATGCAGGATGCAGAATCAAACAGCACAACCCAACCTGGCCGCCAACAAATGCCACAGTTCAATTTATTTTATTTAAACTATTATTATCAAGTGAATGGAAAGCTATGATGCTTTCAAAATAATTATATTCTGGAAGTCTTACATGCCACAAGAGATTAGATCCATTTAGTTTAGATATGTCCCTTTGTAAGATGACCAGTCAGAAGGTACCATGTGACCACTCAAGTCGTGACTATTGATGTTAAATTCAATTGGTAAATGGTCTCATGACGGATCAGACAAAAGCAGACTAATAAGTATGACTAGTTGTACTCGGCTGTAGAGACCTTGTATTCTGAATGCTGTGGGCCTCTCTCGCAAAGATTAAACACTCAGAAGGACAACTCTTTGATTAGTTTATCGACAGAATTTCCATCAGAGTTTATTCATGAAAACATTTCAAAAGCCAGGCTATTCCAATGTGAAACTATATAGTACATTGAAAAATACCACACATACTATAAATATCTTAATGCCATATTACCACATCAATGACGGTACTGCTTCATCAATAGTTGTTGCTGAATATTTCAAGTTAGAAATAATTGTTTTCTTTAGGGTGCAAGGCAAGGCAAGGCAAGGCAAGGCACGTTTATTTATATAGCACCTTTCAACACAAGGCAATTTCAGAGAAAAAATAGATACTGTGTACCATGCCTGTCAGGTTTTTTCAGAAAACAGAAGACATGGGAAAGGAT